AAGAAGTGGAGCGATTCTGACCAGCTTTACTTGACCAAAGACTCTTCTTGTGTGCACAGAAGCGTGAGCATTGAAGTGGTGATCTTGACGACCCTGAACCACTCAAAATGAATGTAGAAAAGATACCCTTACAGACCACCCCAATGATATGATAGATACGTTAAGTTTTATCTCAGCCAAACTTCTTGGTAGACTCTTTCGATATCAGATAGTATATTGGATAGCACATTTGACATCACCATATAATTTTGCAGTAGGCATCAAGTTGTAAAATACTCTTGATTTCTTAATCCATCAAGATGAACTACTTCATAGGGTATCGACGATGTTCAGTCGCTCTACGCCCTCAATACCACTCGCTCCTAATTAACAAAAACACTAAAACAAACCACACTCGAGAAATTAACAACCTTGCTATCAATAAATATGATTCGACATCGTGTTGCCACTAATGCAAGATCAGTAACCAGCCCGTCGTTTCCTCAAAGAAGCAAAGCAGGAATAACGTCAAGCATCTATTCCTCGCCCTCAATTGGGACTTCCTCTTCGTACTCCTCCTCTCCCTCGGAGATCGAGGCATCCTGGTATTGTTGATACTCGGAAACCAAATCGTTCATGTTGGACTCAGCCTCAGTGAACTCCATCTCGTCCATACCTTCACCAGTGTACCAATGCAAGAAAGCCTTTCTTCTGAACATAGCAGTGAATTGATCACCGACACGCTTGAAAAGTTCTTGGATGGATGTCGAGTTACCAACGAAGGTGGAGGACATCTTAAGACCACGGGGAGGAATGGAGCAAAGGGCGGTTTGGACGTTGTTGGGGATCCACTCAACGAAGTAGGATGAGTTCTTGTTTTGGACGTTGCGCATTTGGTCCTCAACCTCCTTCATGGAAACCTTACCACGGCTTAAAAAAAGTTAGTGTCTACAAGATTTTGGCAGATTGATTATAGGGCAAACTTACAAAATGGCAGAGCATGTCAAGTAACGACCGTTACGGAAATCGGAAGCGGCCATCATGTTCTTAGGGTCGTACATTTGTTGAGTCAATTCTGGAACAGTGACAGCACGGAAAGAGTGTGCGCCACGACTGGTCAAAGGAGCAAATCCAACCATGAAGAAATGGAGACGGGGGAATGGAACCATGTTAACAGCCAATTTTCGGAGATCTGAGTTAAGTTGACCAGGGAAACGAAGACAGGTGGTAACACCGGACATGACGGCGGAAACCAAGTGGTTAAGATCTCCGTAAGATGGGTTGCTGAGCTTCAAGGTTCTCATGCAAATGTCGTAAAGAGCCTCGTTATCGATACAGAAGGTCGCGTCAGAGTTCTCAACCAATTGATGGACAGAGAGAGTTGCGTTATATGGCTCGACAACGGTATCGGAAACCTTTGGCGATGGAACGACGGAGAAAGTAGCCATCATACGATCTGGGAACTCCTCACGGATCTTGGAGATCAAAAGCGTACCCATACCGGCACCAGTTCCACCACCGAGGGAGTGGGTGATTTGGAATCCTTGAAGGCAGTCACAGCCTTCAGCTTCACGACGGACAACATCAAGAACTTGGTCGACAAGCTCAGCACCCTCAGTGTAATGACCCTTAGCCCAGTTGTTACCAGCACCAGATTGACCGAAAACGAAGTTGTCTGGACGGAAGAGTTGACCGAAAGGACCGGCGCGGACGGCATCCATGGTACCTGGCTCCAAATCGACGAGGACGGCACGGGGAACATACTTGTTGCCAGAAGCCTTATAGGGGTTAGTGGACGATTTTCGTAGAGTCGAAGTTGTGTATATATACCTCGTTGAAGTAGACGTTCATACGCTCAAGTTGGAGATCGGATGTACCATTGTAGCTGCAAACAAACAATGTCAGTAACGTTTCAAATACGAGAAGAAATTGTGATGTTACTTACACACCGGAACCATCAAGACCGTGCTCGCCAGAGATAGTTTGCCTGTAATATGGTTAGTTTTAATCTGAGGTTGTCGCGAAGCAGAGCTTTCGCAGAATCGGCATCTCGTACCAGAAGGCAGCACCAATTTGGTTACCCTGAGCAGATTGTCAGCAAAGCTCATAGGATACATTTGAAAGAATTGACTTACACATTGGCCGGTTTGAAGATGAACCTGTAGATCCAAAAGTTACTTGGTCAGCGATATGTTACTTTTAAAAAATATATAGTGGGGTGTTTTTCAGGGGTAAAGTCGACGCGTCTTGCAAAAAGGCGTAGAAGTCGTAGATGAAGAGAGAGAAATACATACGATTTCACGCATATTGAAGGTTGATTAGGTTCTTGTATTGAGGTATTGAGATGTGGAAGTTTGGGTATTGAGAAATGGAGGTGGTAGATAGAGAAGTATTAAGAGGTTAAGGATTGCTGAGATGTCCTTGTGGATAGTGGAGTTTGTTGTTCACCGCTAGGCAGGAGTAATCGGTAAACAAATAAAACACTAGTGGGTATTAATTTACTCAACAGGTTTAGTGCGGCGGACGTTAGAGTACCGCCGATCACGTGAGAATAAACTTTCGGATTGTGAGGCAATTCGCAGCCGACACATGTAGAGGGTCTCTTTGTTGACGGTACGAATTGATACTTTACTTTCCTTGTCATATTAATCATCATGGAAAACGAAATCAAAGCTTTCTTACCCAACATTGATCCGGTTCTATCGGAGTATTCAGTTGGGTACCTCACCCATGCATCAAATGCATATGTCGAGGCAGACCAAAATGGTCCTTCGCCATTATCAGAAGCAGCGGTTGCTATCTCAGCGCTCTTACTATCAGCTTCTGGTGATCCGAGTCCAGAGAATCAGTCAAAGATCAATCAAATAGTGGGAAAATGGGTTCAAAAATTTGATGGGAGTGGGCAAAATAAGCAGCTCTCTTCCGCTGCCAAACGGCTAGACCAAGCCATCCAAGTTGGGGCTCAGAGGAACATGTCGTCTACTTTGGGTGTATCTCTTGGAGGTGTTGACTTGGAATCCGCAAATGTTAGAAAAGTGGAGTCGAGAGTTGATAAAAAGAAGTTGGAGAAAGCTGAAAGAAAAATTGCTGCTAAACAAAGCAAGAAGGAATTCAAGGCCGTCGAATATGAGGCTTCTAAACTTATTAATCAACCCGATGACGCTCAGTCATATGAAGAGTTCTTCATGGCTGTCAATCCTTTGCAATTGGGATCGGGTCAATCTACAAAGAGCAAGGACATAAAGGTGGACAATATCGATGTTTCTATTGGTGGTTTGAGAATTTTGTCAGATACAAATTTGACCTTGGCTTATGGCCGAAGATATGGTTTGGTAGGTCAGAACGGTATCGGAAAGTCTACTCTATTGAGGGCTTTGGCAAGGAGAGAGTTAGCTGTACCTACTCACATTTCCATTCTTCACGTCGAGCAAGAAATCAGTGGAGATGATACACCTGCATTACAAGCTGTACTTGATGCAGATGTATGGAGAAAACACTTACTTGCAGAACAAGTCAAAATCTCCAAACAACTCGCAGACATGGAGGCAGAAAGATCATCAATGGCCGATACCTCTGAGCAAGCAGAGAAGCTTGACAAAGAGCGTGAGGGTCTCGACCAGACATTGGGTGATATTCAAGGCAAGCTTGCAGAGATGGAATCTGACAAAGCCGAGTCTCGAGCTGCAACCATTCTGGCAGGTCTTGGTTTCTCTCCTGAACGACAACAATTTGCTACTAAGACATTCTCTGGTGGTTGGCGTATGCGTTTGGCATTGGCTAGAGCCTTGTTCTGCGAACCTGATCTTCTACTTCTTGACGAACCGTCTAACATGTTGGACGTTCCTTCTATCACTTTCCTTGCCAATTATCTTCAAGGATATCCAAGTACCGTTTTGGTAGTTTCTCACGACAGAGCATTCCTTAACGAAGTTGCAACTGATATCATTCATCAACATTCCGAACGTCTCGACTACTACAAGGGTGCCAATTTCGAATCTTTCTATGCTACAAAGGAAGAACGCCGCAAGACAGCACAACGAGAATACGAGAACCAAATGGTCCAACGTGCTCATCTCCAAGCATTCATCGACAAGTTCCGTTACAACGCTGCCAAATCCTCCGAAGCGCAATCCAGAATCAAGAAGTTGGAAAAGATGCCGATCCTCGAAGCCCCCGAATCCGTCTACACGGTTCATTTCAAGTTCCCCGAGGTGGAAAAACTTTCTCCCCCAATTGTCCAAATGACAGATGTATCCTTCGGCTATACTCCCGACAAACCCCTCCTCCACAACGTCGACCTGGACGTACAGCTCGACTCCCGAATTGGTATCGTCGGACCCAACGGAGCCGGTAAAACCACCATCCTTAAACTTCTCATTGGAAAGCTCTCTCCTACCGGAGGACTTATTTCTCAAAATCCTCGACTCCGCATCGGTTTCTTCGCACAACATCACGTCGATGCTCTCGATCTAACCACCAGCGCCGTTGGCTTCATGACCAAGACCTACCCCGGAAAAACCGACGAAGAATATCGTCGCCACCTCGGTGCCTTTGGTATCACCGGTATGACTGGTCTTCAAAAGATGGAACTCCTTTCCGGAGGTCAAAAATCTCGTGTCGCATTCGCCTGTCTATCTCTACAAAACCCACATATCTTGGTTCTTGACGAACCTTCCAATCACTTGGATATTGAAGCTATGGATGCGTTGAGTCAAGCATTGAATGCATTCCAAGGTGGTGTGCTGATGGTCAGTCACGATGTTACAATGTTGCAAACGGTGTGCACAAGTCTTTGGGTTTGTGATAACGGAACGGTGGAAAAATTCCCTGGAGATGTGCAGGCGTACAAGAAGAGAATCACGGCGCAGGCAGATGCAAGTGGTGTTGTGCAGGCTCATTAGGAAATGTTCAAAAATTACAATTTGTCGAATTATCCTACTCCAAGTCTCAGATTGCAAGTCATATGATGGTTCTATTTCTAGCGTTTTTTCTAATCAACATTTCCACCATCCACAGTACTCCTAATACCCCTTTTTCCTATCCACTAAATTGATAAGATCCCTCCCCTTTTCTATGTTTTCCAAATTCGCATCCAAGATTGCAAAACTCCTCTCCGCATACGTCGTCCCAAGCCCACTGACGTGAGGTGTAATAGCCACATTTTCCAAAGTCCATAACTCACTATCTTGAGGTAGAGGTTCTGGGTCTGTAACATCCAATGCAGCTCCCCTCAAACCTCCTTCACTCAATGGCTTCTTCAAATATGTAATCAGATCATCTTGATTGATAATACCACCCCGGGCAATGTTGATGATGAAAGCGTTTGTTTTAGATCCCAATATTTCGAATTCAGCTGCGGACAGGAAGTGGCGAGTTTGTGGTGTCAGGGGAACGGAAATCAGAAGAATATCGATGTCCTGTTTGAGGAAGTTATGCAGACTCTCCTTATCGAGTCCGGAGTACCAGGCAGACGGAAGTGTGCCATCTGGATCGCCAGTATTGGGGACAATATATTTACCCTCATCTTTCCTAGACTCAGGAGTCGTGCGTGGCGATGCCGTATAAGCTATAACATCCATTCCCATAGCTTTACAGATTCTCGCAGCTTGTCTTCCAATCGCTCCATACCCAAGAACGCCCAGTCTTTGACCCACGCAATCTCTCATTGAACCCAATTGTTTGTAATCTCCCCAAACATGTTTTTTCTGCCACTCAACCAATATCTTCTCCTTATGCGAATGGCTCAAGATCTGCATGATAACCCATTCTGATATCTGCGGTCCATGTACACCAGACGAGTTTGTAATTGGGATTTTGGTGTCTTTCCAGATCGGAGTGTTGCTCAATCTATCTGTGCCGGCGCTGAAAAGATGGATGAGTTTGAGATTCTTAGCTTGCTCGGCGGAAGGAGGGAAGGATGAGAGGGTAACGAGTATAGTTGCATGATGCCAGGTTTCTGGGAGGCGGAATGAATTTGTTAGAGAACCTCGATACCCGGAACATTGGGAAATGAGAAGGAAATGGCAAGACAGGCAACTTACCATCTGGCACAGCTGCAAGTTCCAATGCTTTCCCTACACCAAAGAATATCTGCTTGTATGTAATTTCCACGTTATACTTTTGTCTCAACCTATCCAAAATTTTGGCATCTTCTGGAAAAGGGAGAAGACATAAAATATGCTCTTGTTGTTGAGGAATCTCGCCCATGATTGTAGATGTAAGTAAAGTCAGACGATCAGTGGAAATTGTGGACATAAGATATGAAAATAACAGATACTAGATACTAGATACTAGATACTAGAAGCTCGAAAAGGGCAATGAAGCTTTATATATCGAGCTTACAGACGATGAGAACAGAACGAGATAATAAACGTAATAGTATTTCACACGTGTCGGTCACAATTGAGAAACACATTTGGATTTATCATCCAAAATTGGGTGCTCACCGAAGTCGCACCCGCTCGTCTCATCCTAGAGTATCCATCGAGTACTCACTCGTATCTGTCTGAGCATTTTTGTGGTACAGTCACCACCCGCTGAGCGTAACCCAATTACCCCGCTGCACCTCTCAAGGTTTTCGGCGCTAAGATAAGATAAGAAGTTGCATGAAATTTCCTGATAGGCTTCTGATTCCATGCGAGAATGACAGAAGATGCTCAATTATCACGATATACATCTGATTCCGTGAGATTCTGCAATAGAGGAGAGAAAGTTGCCAACTCAATTCAAGGATGACGGAAGGATTGATCAAGATCACGATGTCTAGTCAGTTCGGTAATCTTCATCCAAAGGTCATGAAACAACATGGAAAATGCTTGAGTTTTACTTTATCCCAATTCTTTGAAAACTAAATCTATTAAGTGAAAATCTATTGCGAAGGTTGTTTACGAGCCAATTCATCATGCTCTTCAATATCCTGGGCCTCCCATGGATAACAAATCCATACATCCTCAACAGTTCTTGCGGCGAGATATCTATCATCCTTCAACATATCCTCAGGGAGCGTACCCTTCTTTTCCTTGTTCTTGTTCTGTTGATGCCAACACATTAGTAAATTCCCTTTTAGTCGCGCATGTAAAAACTCGATGAATCACTTACATGTAAAACAAAGATAGAGAAGACAGTCTTTTCTCCTTGACCACCCAACTTTTGTCTAGCAAGCTCAACATCCTTCTCCAACTCCTTAACGGCATACTCCAAAGTGGTTCGTGTATCATCAACTTCATCGACGATCAAAATTCTCTTTCCAACCAAGTTCTCCATGTTACCCAAGCTGTTCAAATCCAACCATTGAGTTCTGGTAACCTTTGTGCCCACTTGCTCAACTTCTCCTGGAGTATTTGAAGCTGAGGGGTGTGTAGGAGGAAGCTGTTCGTATAGCGAAAGGCCAATAGCTTGGATTGGAATATTAGGACTTCCGGGTTGTTTTAAAAACGATCGCAGAATACGCGCAGGAACATATCCACCACCACCGATAGCGATCATAAGTTGAGGTTGGAATTCTTCGAGAATGCGTGGTGCGGCTTCTTGACAGAGTTTGTGGACCTAAGGAAGGTTGTCAGTGATGCTTCTTTGCTCGGAGGGGTAATATGAGGCCAGGAGGGGCATCTTGAGCTTCTGTGTGCGCGCATACCTGGTTATAGGTCACATATTCTTTGACAACCATCTTTAATATGATGTGTAGGGTATCTTTAAGTGATCTGTAAATCTGTGTAACTTGACGAAGAAAATATGAATCTATTCCAAGAATTTTTTATTGAACTTAAACACCCGGAGTTTACCTAAGAGTCGTGAAAATAAAATTATTCAAAAGTTCGTGATCCCAGTGTCCGGGGAGTCACTGGTCGTATGCGGTATACCGTGCTAACTAGCTAGATAAACTAGCGGACTTCGCCTGCTGCAGAATCTTTAATTGCACTCCTGTTAGTTTACTACATTACAGATGATTGGTTGTAGTTGCTATGTAGATATATTTTTGCTGCTGGTGATAAATGTACGACAATAAAGAATTCTAGTGAACATATCATTGACTACCTAGCAATATCAGTCTCAGTTTCTCTCTCTAGCCATTATCGTACATATGAAACAATGATATTTTGTGTGCTTTCTCATACTCCATTCTACAGCCCTTCTGCGGTTATTCATGAATGAAACCCTCATCCGTCATTTTTAACTGATGCAGTGTTACCTGCCTATCTGGCTATACCTTCCTCATTCTTTGTATCCCATCTACATGATAAAATCTTCAGAATGACCATTCACATTGTGAATCATCACGACAACCATCCGTATTTAGGTTACACATCAACTCGAATCAAATGCTAGGAGTTAATGACAATTTTTCATGACTGGTGTGTCTTACATTCTTTCATTCCGCATTTCAAAACTCTCCCTCCAGTTGTGACATCAGATACCACTTCTCAGTTTCTGAATTGGTTTAGAGGTAGATCATATTCAGGGCCCATAACTTCGATTGGGGGGAGAACTAGTAAGTAGTTCAGAACGATCACGACAAACGCACTCGTTGTTCACAGTTTCCCACACAACAATTTGTGCGAAATCTGCAAAGCATACATCTCTGATATATTGAACTCCTCTTGACTTATTGTATCCTTCGCAAGTATGCCAAAACCAGCCCCAAATCTTAATATTCCCCCCTCTTCCACCACCGTAAGTGTCCGCATCATCGATACTACTACCCATATCTCCGGTATTCCCCTCTCCGAATTTGTTTCCCCCGCCATCTCCGGACACACTCACTTTTCCATCCCCGCCTATTCATTTCTCATTGAGCATCCCTCCTCCCGCTCTCTCCTCTTCGATCTTGGTGTCCGCAAAGACTGGGAAAATCTCTCCCCCCGCATTACGGAACGCATCAAAGATGGCGGCTGGAAAGTCACTGTTCAGAAGGGTGTACGTGAGCAACTAGAGGAACATGGGGTATCGGCTGCCAGCATTGAAGCCGTGATCTGGAGCCACTGGCACTGGGATCATATTGGAGATCCTAGTACATTTGATAAATCCACCGCTCTGGTCGTTGGTCCTGGGTTCAAAGAATCTTTCACCCCGGGTTACCCCTCCGATAATTCCTCCCCTATTCTTGAAAGCGATTATGCCGATCGTGAACTCCGTGAAATTGCTTTCAATTCTGGTCTCAAGATTGGCCGCTTCGAAGCATTTGATTATTTTGGAGATGGTTCTTTCTATTTACTCAATAGTCCGGGGCATACTATCGGCCATATGTGTGCATTAGCTAAGGTCAAAATGAATCCAAATTCATATGTATTCATGGGAGGTGATGCGTGTCATCACGGGGGCGAATTTCGACCTTCACCTTATCATCCTCTTCCAGAATTTCTCACACCAGCTCCTTTGCCGAGTTACGGGACAACCTGCCCAGGTTCGCTCTTTGAGCCTCTTCTCCGTGATAATGACAGGGACAAACCGTTTTACGCGATAGCGCGAAGGGATGATGGAAAAGGGGTAGCGCATGATGTCGATGAGGCAGAGAGAACGATTGAAAAAGTCATGGAAGTGGACGCATCGGATGAAGTATTAGTTGTTATGGCACACGATGAGACATTGAAAGATGTGGTATCTTTTTTCCCTCAATATGCCAATAGCTTTAGGAAAAATGGATGGGCAGAAAAGGGAAGATGGTTATTTTTGAGAGATTTTGCAGGGGCTGTGGAGAATTAAAAACTATAGATTCTCGTTATATCGTCAGTAAAATTTACACATCAAAGCAATATGAATGCCCTCTTGAAGACTAAACCACCAGCTCAGATTTCTTTTCGATAAATGCTCAACAAACAGAATTGAACGCAGAAAATACTTTACATTTCTGTAGATTCTGCTCAACTTCCTACACATCTCTTTGGTTCCAACACTCATTCCACTCACAGTACCACAAAGCTTTATCTAGACTGATACATGGCGATTGACAGTTGAGTTCGGCTTCAAATTCTCAATCAAAGTTGGAGTTACACCCTACCACTCACTCCTCGGTGTCCATGTCTACCAAGCTCTCAAAACCATCGCATACATCCAAGGGAACAAAGATCATCTTTTTCATTTGAAGTGGGAAGTTTTAATGGTTTTCCCGAACCATGGTTTACTTTCTTCCCAAGAGAGAATATAATCCATCCTTAACAATCTCATCTCAATCCTCTTGATGCACCGAGAATCATAATCAATCGATACAGCATTGAGTAATCGCCCCCTCAGGAGCCAGTTCTATCCCCACTCTTTTACTCCTCATCTATCTCTCGATTCACTTCCCAGAATCTTTGAGGATCCAAATCAGAATTTAACGAAGCGAAGAGATCACTGGCTCATGACATACAGGTTCCTTACAAAGAGCGAGGGAGAGGAAAAGAAAGCAAAGCACCAAGACCTTGCCGTCCCAATCAATGGGGTGGGAGAGAAGAGCATCACGTTGATAATGTCATTTTTAGGGGAACCCAGTTTGGCAGTCCTGCCCGCTACGCTAGGGCGCCGATATACTTTAATTTCAATTTGGGATGATCTTCAACGGAACGAGAGTGGTATTTCGGTTTGGAGAGAGGGAATAAGGGTGTATGATCTTCAGAGGTGATGATGCAGGGTTGTGGGCTGGATACCATGGTGATGTGATGGTAAAGCCGCATACCTAATTCCCCTTCATATCGGAACTTGCAATTCCAACGTGTATTATGCAATATTACATCTAGAATTTAAACACGATAATGACATAAGATAAACACATTTGCGCCCATCGATGCAAAACACATAGCTGTATTTTATCCATACATTTTTATTGGGGTCTATACCACAAGTAAGTACTGTGTTGTATTACAATCGTGGGGTATTCGAGCTGTTCAAATTATTCAAGTCTCGGAAGACTAATGACTGTGGGATGACTTGACATAATATGCAGCTTTTGGTTTCTGAAAGCTCGTATTGGTTTAATCAGGGTGCACTTGGTTTGTCAGTCTAGTACGATCTCAATCGTTGAGGAAAGGAATCTAGTCAATTTGATATCGCTTGAGGCTCATCCACATGACTTTTCAATATCAAGGACTGAATATAAAATATGAAGTTTGAGGTTGCTGGAGTCCTGCTGAGTTCGGGCCACTGTTTTGTGTTACCATTGGCTTCACAAGGACCTAGCGTTTCAGAATTGAGTGTGGTGGCACGACCTTTGAAGTTATTTTTCCCAAAATTCATGGAGTCCATAGATGTGGGGGTTCGGGAACTATTTGATATGATATATGAACTAGCCCGCGAAGAAAAGCCCCTCGTGTCCTATCTCTCTCGTCATCCTACTTCGAAACAGGTTCGCCATTCATGAGAGAAGACGTTTGCGAGCAATATCCTTAAATTCTTGAAATAGTCACTGTGAATAAATTATATCAGAATCTTCGCAGATCTTTAAGATTATAGCATGATCTGCAAACATCGGCATCATGTAGTTGAACTCCAAGAAATCTTGATATAGGAGTGCTCGATGCACGTAGTGAAGAAGTTCACAGAATCGGAGACCTGTCCAAAATTCGCAGCCAAATGTTACACGCGAGAAGTGCATTTGGTAGGACGATTTATATCAAATATGATACCCCGCACTGCTGTAGTTGTATCGGCATCCAATATTAGACTCCTTCCAGTATTGCTGAAAACTTTCATTTTCATACATTTTTTGCCAGGCCTTGAAGTATCTTTTCAAACAAGCCTACCAGATACCCATGAGTTGTGTACTTGGTTTCCACAAGCCCGAAAGCATGATAGTTATACAGAATGATCATGAGGATAATCTCATCAGGAGAGGCGGCTGAAACATCGGCAATACGCGGCACACCAGCTCAGTACCAGCATGAGATCTGGAGGCGACTTGATAGAGAAGTTGCTTTCGAGGATGAGGCGCTGCTTCTCCTACTCGTGCTCGTGGGTCGTCGCCCCTGTTATCATCTATTTCTAAACATTCCCGCAGATTGAAAGCCCAGCTACCCAACGGAGTACAACGAGCTGAAAAGATGATAGGCCGAATCCAGCCTTGTGATGATGATAGAATAGATGAAGTTGCCAATACTCTTCCGATGGCTTTTGATATACCAAGTCAATGAGATACACGGTACTGAAGCTTTCACCCTAGCTCACAATGCACCCCTACTCACAACGCACCCATACTCACAATGCATCCCACTAACGAAAATGCGAGCGAGCCGCGATACTCTGAGATTTTCAGTATAAAAATTGAAAGACATTTCTTTTCTGAGGCTTGAATGCTTGGCGTGGGCTACTACTATCGCCACAATGCGGCCATGCTCATTGAAAACTCTTTACTCCAGACGCTTACGAGGAACAAGCTTCGCGACTCAGAGTCAGTGATCATAAGACAGGATCAAGTAACCACTGCTCTGCTTTCTTATCTCACCAATTCTATGAGATTGAGGTAAGATGTATTGCACGTGGGCCACACATGCATTGAAGATTCATGATGTGATATTGCAAATGTGACAAGCTGTTTCGAAGTGGCTGGGCTTGTCAGGTTGAGAGATTTTAGAAGTACTAGGTAGGTGGGATTCCGACAGGAAGGGCACAGATGGGAAATGCCACATGGCGATACCTAACCAATAGGAATAAAGTCTAGGCCCATTTCTGGATTTCTTGGGAAGTTTCTCTAATATTTTCTAGTTTCTGTACAGCCCCTTTTCACCGCTAAATAGATGTTCATTCGGTTAGTTCTAAGTGAACAAGAATGTACGGTGCATTTAGCCAACATTTGAATTGATTTCACTGGTTCCTACTCGAGTAATTGCTGATAATTACCTGCTAAATTGATCATACTTCTGGACGTCGAAGTGATAACAGATAAGCAAGGGTCTAGAAAGTCTCAAAGACTCCGCTCCGTACCTGTTCATCTCAGGCTTTGTCCACTATTTCTTGGGTTGTAACCAATACAATTCGTAGTAAGCCTGTACGGTAGTAACCGAACCCCAGAATCCCCCCGCCATTTCAAACATTCACCAATTTTGACTCACATCTTTTCTCATTTCACTAACACACATGCACTCCAAATTGGCGTCAATTGTCAAAACATGCTAAAAATTCAATTCAATTCACCAACAAACTTAAACTTGTGATATTATCCTGACCTCTCTCCCTCCAATCATAATGTTTCCAATCCTCCAAAATGGATCCTGCAAGCCAAGAGCTATTACACACTTACAGACATATCATTCAAACTTAAGATTATCCTAGCTAGACCCTTGAATTCTCAGATGTTAAAAAGGTATGTCCCCTCATCTCTTTGTTAAATGTAGCTAATAAGATGTATCCATCTACTAATATACTTCGGTAGCTCAATAACTAAAACTTAGCCTACCTTGACGTCTAAGCATTCATACTAATAATTGACGACTCCATCAATCATCTTCCTTCTGATTCCTCTGCCTTTCGAGGGTTGATCTCGTTCATCAACAATACTCCTTGATAACGACCATATCCTCTTCAAACTGCCATCATGGCGACTCTCAGTTCGACGATTGCGACTACCGTCACAGCAGCCAGTAGTGCTGCCAGCGCCACTTCTACAAATCGCGCCGCCCCGCAGGGTGGAATTTTAGAAGGAGGGAATCCTACTGTCTACAATGCTTCAAATCCTATTGTTTTGTTCATCATTCAGGTATGCTTCTTTCTTACTGATTTGCGCATTCTCCTGCCAGCATCAATGGTGGAACGTATGGCCGTTCAAGAAGAGCTTCATGCCGTCATTGCAGAAAGACCTACAGAATGTCAAATTCACACAATAATTCTACTCGATCAACAAAACGGGCTTTTGCGCATCATAAATGGACCTAGCTAATTTGCTTTTAATTATAGGCGGGCATCATCATCATATTCTGTCGCCTTCTTCATTACCCTTTGTCCAAACTGCGACAGCCTCGAGTCATTGCAGAAGTAATAGGTGGAATCATTTTGGGTCCTTCAGTCATGATGCGCATCCCTGGGTTTCAAGAAACTATATTCCCCGTTGCCTCGATGCCGGTATTAAACATGGCCGCAAATCTCGGATTGATACTCTTTCTTTTCCTTGTTGGTCTAGAAGTCAATATGCGACTGTTTCTTGGTAACTGGAGAGTAGCCCTGAGTGTTGGATTGGCCGGAATGATATTGCCTTTTGGCTTGGGTTGCGCCGTCGCTTACGGTCTGTATAACGAGTTTCGACACGATCCGGGAACTGTGCCTATCTCATTCCCGGTCTATATGCTATTCGTCGGCACAGCTCTTGCGGTATGGGATCAATCTCCATCTAACTGAATTGATTACTGACATCCGCTATAGATCACAGCTTTCCCTGTCCTCTGTAGAATCCTTACCGAGTTAAATCTCCTCGCTACACCCGTCGGAGTCACAGTTCTTGCTGCTGGAGTTGGTAATGATGTGACAGGATGGATTCTTTTAGCCCTTTGCGTTGCATTGGTCAATAACGGATCGGGGCTCGCAGCCTTATGGGTGTTGCTCGTTTGTGTTGGCTGGTGTCTTTTCTTAGTGTACGCTGTTCGTCCTGTGTTTAGGTATATTCTTCGCCGCAACGGAAGTCTTGAAAATGGCCCCTCTCAGGGAATGGTTGCTCTCACAATACTAATCGTACTGGCATCGTCTTGGTTTACTGCCATCATTGGAGTTCACGCTATCTTTGGAGGTAATGTCATCCTCAATTATGTCTGATATAAGCTTCGCTAACTTTAATCATAGCTTTCCTCGCTGGACTCATATGCCCCCATGAAGGTGGTTTTGCTATTCATCTCACAGAAAAGATCGAGGATCTAGTCGCAGTGCTACTTCTTCCACTTTATTTCGCCTTGTCTGGATTGAGTACCAATCTTGGTCTACTGAACGATGGAATTACATGGGGTTATGTTATTGCGATTATCGTTGTTGCATTCTCAGGCAAAATCATTGGAGGCACGCTTGCGGCCAAGGCTTGTAGGCTTGTCTGGCGTGAAAGTCTCAGTATTGGAGTTTTGATGAGTTGTAAAGGTCTTGTTGAATTGATTGTCCTTGTAAGTTGATCATGTGTGAAATCTAACACATTGGCTATACTGACACCAACAGAATATTGGTTTGCAAGCTAAAATTTTGTCGACAAGAACTTTCACCATATTTGTTGTGATGGCACTTGTCACAACCGTTGCCACAACGCCGTTAACAACCGCACTATACCCTCCTTGGTACCAGAAGAAACTCGAGGCCTGGAAGAAAGGAGAAATTGATTGGGAAGGTAACAGACTTCATCCTGAGGGTGATGAGTATACCCCAGACCGCTCCTTGGAAAAGCTGGAATCCACTCAAGTTCGACGACTTCTTGTCTACCTCAGACTTGATAGTCTTCCTAGCTTGTTCACTTTCATTGCACTATTGGGTGGTGATAACACGAGTACGGTTACCAAAGTCCACAGGTCGAAAGCCGAATTGGAAACAGTAGATGAGGATGGTACTCCTTCATCATTGATTCCTAAGAAACAGCCACTTGAGGTTCATGGTGTTCGCCTGTTAGAACTCACTGACCGTACATCTTCAGTCATGGCCGAAGTGGATGAATATACACACCGTGATCCAGTCGTCAATGCTTTCCGCACCTTTGCTCAATTGAATAACGTTGCTGTCTCAGGTGGGGTTTCCGTCGTTCCTGAGTCGGATTATGCCGAGGCTTTGACCACACAGGCAGCAGACAACTTTTCCGACCTAGTTCTCATTCCTTGGACCGAGCCTAGTATTTTACCAGTCAACGAAGTCCATCATGATTCATTTTCTAGCGGCCTCCAGGATATTTTCATCCAGAAGACGCTTGAGATCGCTAATTGCAACATTGCCATTTTTATCAATCGTGGCTTTGGTGGACCAACCCTGAGAGAGCCTCGCAATCTCTCATCAAGTGCCAGTCGACTCAGTCTTCGCAGTAGTCAACGTGCAGAGAGAGTTGCTCCTATCGCAGATCGCAGTCACCATGTTTATTTTCCATTTTTCGGTGGCGCTGATGATCGCGTCGCTCTTCGTTTTGTTCTTCAACTTGCACAAAACAGTAACATCACAGCAACTATCATTCATTTTATCACCCTTATTCATAGTCCCAAGACGTATGAAGTAAAGCATAGCTCTCGTCCAGCCACTGCTAACGGTTCTCAACATGGTGGCAGTTCTGGTTCGGCGTTACGTATCACGGAACGTGTCGATACTGAGGATCTTTACAATGCAGCTGCGTCCGACACCGCTCTTCTACACACATTACGAGACTCCTTACCTCAAGCATTGACGAATAGAGTGGTTTTTGTCGACGTTAAGACTACAACCCCATTAACCGAATGTTTACATCACGCAAAGGTGGAAATGGGTCAAAGTCCTCGAAATGCAGGAGACTTGATCGTTACAGGTAGAGGTAAAAGTTCACTTGCTATGGCACTAATCAATGAGGAAAGCGCCAGTGGAGAGAGCGGAAAGGAAATGAGGAAGACCGTAGGAGTGGCGGCGGAGGCACTGATTAGCAGTGGAGTTAGAGGAAGTGTTTTGGTCATTCAAGCTGGAGGGCGAGGTCTGGAAAGTTGAAGAATTCAATCAAGAGAACCATATACTTTGGATAACATTCAAGGCGCAACTCATGCTGCTTCGGTCGGTTCAGATATACAGGGGTGCTTTAGGTGCATATGGGACTTGAGCATAGGATGGAATTTGGTGTTTTTGGGGATACGATACCTTATGATATGATATGACAGGATATACGTGGTTGCTTTTCATTTCTTCCATACTGGATATACATGTGGTGGTTTATTACATTGACGAACTAGGAAGTCGTTTTGGCGGTTTTTTGAATGATCCAAAATTGGATCAATGCATACTTCATATCTGGTTTAGCTTAGCATTGCCTTGGATCTCTGGATACAATTTTTGGAACGAAAACTGACCCATCTGATAGCAAGATCGTTGCTTGACCTCCTTACTGACTTGTTTTATGTGAACTCTACCACAGATTATTGTACCGAGACAACTTTTCCTGATTTCCGTGGCATGAGTATTATCAAAAGAGATATAACACCTTATGATAAAAAACAATTGGATAAGTAATGGGTGAGGATGTGAAGGTGACTTGCGTACTCGTAGAGATTCACAACATATCAAGAGCTCTTGTCACAATATTCTGATTGAAATAGATTATCAATATGTTTATTTATTAATCAAGCTGGATCAATTTTGAATACAAAAGAGGACTATCAATATATACATACGTCCAACCTTCATTGGTCCTTCCATTAACGCATAGCCCTTGTGTATTGGTCATATACAATTCAATGCTGGCCACACCTGCTCAATATATTTTCTTACTTCAAACGGGCCCGCATCTTGTCCTCGCACCTAAACCATATCAGTCCTGACAGCACCCGCATGTTCTGTCTTTGCAGCTTCCCTATTGCGGAAAAAAACCTTGGAACTCAAGTCAAAGATCGGTAATGGGCATGGTACGCCCGTCGAAGCACACGACGTGATGACGGCCAGATACCTATGAGATTCAATTAGCATCTTGCTCATTACGCAACCAGGATATCTCGAAAGAAGAGAAATGAAGTGAGGAAAACTCACCATCCCATTATTATAGTCACGAATCCAAATCCGCCCGCAATCTTAAACATGTGCGCTGCATTCTCCAAGCCTGCTTCCGAGGGATTGTATCCCAATTGGTAGTACCCGCCGGCGAAAAAGCCAAAGACGAATATCAATGTGAAGAATACGATTACAAACGGGACATTAGTTCTCAGACTGGCGCAGAGGAAGACGAAACACACGAGTGCCATGACGACGGCGTAATTGCCCTGTCCGGCATTGTATTCCTGACTCAGAGCACCGGGCACCGCGACGCCGTTGACGGTTGTAGCGTAGGAGGCGGCCACGCCGTGCAGGGGATCGTTGATATATCCGTTGTAGACCCAGTGCACGCCGAAGATTATGAAGACGGAAAAGGGGAAGGAGTTGCCGAGGACGAATTCGCAGATGCCGGCGATGATCATGGCGATGCCGCCGAACATGTAGAAGGTTCCGCTGATGGAGACGAGGGAGGAGGTGGAGGAGCCTTGGAAGGTGAGGAGTGAGAAGACGGTGGAGGAGAAGGGGACGAGGAAGCCGAGGAGCCCGAGGAGGGTGGGGTTTCCTGCGGTGGATTAGTGGGTTGGTTGGTTGGTTTTGGAAAGGGGAAGAGGAGGTTAGGGGAGATGGAAACTTACCGAGTCGTTTGACGAGATCACCTTTGGCGGACGAGGGCTGGAAGAATAGTCGTTCGTATTGATCGGTGTTTAGTTGAAGAGTTATCTGACGGGAGAGATCGGGTCCACCGGCGACGTGTTGCACGTATGGTTTGTCGTGATGGATATCATCGTGTGAGGTATCGAGTGAAGACATGATTAAATACAATGTGATGTTTTCTTAGGTGAAAGCTAAGAGTATGAGATGAGATGGAATATGATACCGAGACGACTGACTATCAACCGCCGAAAGCGATGAAGCACAATAGTATTAGGAGAGAAAAGAAAAATGCAAGATTCCCTACTCAAGAAGAAGAAGAAATGAAAATGAAAATCCCACAAATTCAAGACCCGGCGTGTGCGTTGTTATATACACTTCCCAACTGAGCACGCATGCATCGTCTACAACAGCAATGCCTAGATTCTCCCCGCGCAGATCCGTGCCATACAAGCCCCATCCCAAAGGCTGCCGTGTGCATTCCCCAGATTGCACATCGCAAAGCTGCAATAGCGTCCCCTCCCCCGGACGGTCTTCTCCAGAGTCCGAACATCATGCATGGCGTGCAGATCTGGGGAACTTTCCCTGCAAGACCATACGATCCCACGATCCAGCTTCCACATCACCACTCTCACCCTAGCAAATAAGCAATACCTAGACCCATCACACCTCAACCCAAAATCCCCCCTCCTTCCCAACAACTCACGCGATTCCCGTTACAAGATTCTCATCTCCTACGCCACACCCCAGCACACTAGTAAACAACACAGCGGACAATCATCCACTTTCAGCTTAGTCCTCTTCTTCCCCAGCATCACCAATCCCAAAACAGACCACCTATCCCCCCAAAAGGAGAGAGGGGTTCGAATCTCGACCCAGAACCTCGGAACAAATTACAAGTACCGGGGATTTATTACCTAATGCCTTGTATGCATACGATGAATGACAGAGATACGAATGATACGATGATACGATGAGAGGATAGGATAGGATAGGATAGGAAGTAACCTTAACCTTAACACACCTACCTCACCACGTCTCGCTTAACGACACAACCCCTCTTTTCACCTTTGCTTCCGTCACGCCCAGTGTATCGAAAAGAGCGGAATCAAGAAAAGAGTATGGGTAAGTGGAAGTGGAAGTGGCAACTCAACCCGGCATTTGGGAATTTGTTTTAGTATTTTTCTTGTTTTTGCCTTTTGTACAGTACAGTGAGTGGTGTTTCGTTGACAGATACGGAATGATAAGATAATGTATGTGGTACTTTATCATATTATCTAATCGTTCGATTGCTAGCTACATACAGATAATATAGTATAGTATAATATCATATCATATACATATCCATAACAAGCAAACAAACAAATACACAAAATCAATACCAGCATCAACATCAACATCCCTCTTACACTACCAACACCACCCCACACAATTCCCATCTCCCTCAACCCACCCAACCCCAAACCCAAACCCATCCATCAACCACCCCTCAACCCACAGCATGGAACCATTCCGTTCTCTCCTCTCCTCTCCTCTCTCCCCAACATCCTCAAACCAAACGATCAACCCCGTCAAATCAAGCCAACCCAATTGTCCAAACTCCCAACTCCACTTCACCTCTCAGCCACCACCTCCACGGACAAGAGGAAGCAAAGTTCCGTTCCGCGATTCGATTCGATAAATATACTAAGCTACTAATGTACTTATCTACTAACACACTAATACACTAACACGCCAATACATCAACACCCTAACATCCTCCTATTCTAGCCCTCACCCCATTCCATCCCAATATCAATCCCAATCCCAATCCCAATCAATCCCCAATCCCCCAAAAAGTAACCCCCATCCCAACCCTCGGAAACTTGAGAATAGAACAAGTCCATCAATCTATCTATCTATCAAGTGGGGTATCCTTCTAGCCTTCCTCGCCTTCCTCGTCTTCCTCGCCTTCCAGACTTCTAGCGCCCTTCATATATGCGGGGTAACCAGACCATCAATAGGACTTAAGATTTTCCCCAGCCTCGGTATCATTGATCTGCGACGAGCTACTGTAGTAACCTAGCTCCTAGGAACCTAGTAGGCTAATAATCCCAATTCCCCAAAGTTACTTCTCGCTTTTTTCATGCATTTTTGTTAATCATTTGTTGTATCTTTGGTGCTGGAGGCTTCACATCTAGATCTTTGGTCGGTACTTGGAAGTGACACATACAGACAGCACAGACGCACGAGCATATATACACACACACACACATCTACAAGTTCTCACAATAAATCAATAAATAAAATTGAACATGTAAATGGCTTTGAAAAGCTTTGGTATATTGATTTTGGCTTTCATCCTATCTTATTTCTTTTGCACTCTCAGCTCCATGTTTTGTTGCTCTCCCCTTTTGTGTATCCCGTGGGGTCTCTTTAATTTTCTCCGTGTACTCTCAACATGTATGGAAGATATACACATCATGGAATTTACCAAATACCTATGTCCAATCCATCTTCGCCATCATCTTGATGCCTACTTTGCTATCCAGTACCCACACTCTGACCCCGATTCAATCTTCAACGCCCATCCATATCCTCTCCAATTCCTTTCCAATCTCACACTAGAAAATTTGACAAAAACCCAAACTCCCCCGCTGTTGACGCCTTTCACAATCAATCGCGAACCGTAGCCATTGAGGCCTTGCAATAATCCATGCAAATTCCTCGCAACAAAAAAAGATAAAGTAAAGAAGCAAGAAAAAAGAATTGACTCAAACAAAGCCTGCTTCGGAAAGAGCCACCCAACTCTTATCATCTCGTCTGATCCCCCAAATTATTTCGTACACTGATATAATATGTTCATACAGGGTCACAGAATCTCTTATCTGTATCCTTAACGCCGTCAAACGTGCACTATTTTGTGTCGGTCTGATGTCTACCGCCAGAAATTAGAGGTTGATGTGAAATGGTAAGAGTATCAAGAAAAAGCCCGAGAAGGGATGGAAATTTGTTCCCATCTCTCGAGGTCCATTTGGATTTTGTACTGGTCGTGTATGTCGTTTGAAAGAATCCGTCGATACATTCGGGAATCCGGTAAAAAGTAAAAGTAAAGAAAACACATTATGATTTTTCGGTCCGTCGTCGGAATTGATATCTTCAATGCATTCGTGCTAAAATGACATATGCTGATTAAATGATGAATGCAATGGTATGAAAGGCCTGTGCCATTAGAAGAAGCATTCCCTGGTTGGCAAAAAGATCCAGGAGATGCATGTGAGTAACAAGGAAAAAAGTCAATAACAAAACGTTTTATGGCAGCTTGAACCCGTCGCTATGCAGAAATGAAATTACGGCCATTATTAATCGACTCGTGTATGTACAAGAATTCGTGTCGGCGAGAATAAATCCTCAAATTGAAACGCTCATGTTGTGTGATGAGAATGGTAGTTTGTTATACAACAGTCATCATGTGCATTCTTTGGCCCAAGCTTCTTGTTGGTGAGGAATTCATTGAGCCACTGAGCATAGAGTTGCTGCTATGACTTCGGGGAAGGCGTTTTGAAGCAGGTGATGACATTGGGTCAGTGAAAACGCGAGTGAATGCCGGGCTTGACTCGCGATGAGGTGTACAAACCGGACTTTGAATAGTACCATCAGTTTCACGGATGATGTCGGCCAATTTCCGACTCAAAACAGAAGCACGATGGACTAAGTCGCGGAGACTGGTCGTGTCGAATGGCATTTTGTTTGGAGATTGCTCAACCACTTCTGACAACCAAGGATCTGAAGTAGAACGGTGTTGATGCATGGTTTCCATGACTGTACGAGCAACTTCAGCTGCAGTTTTCGCACTCGAAGAACGGACAGGAACTGCGGGAGGACGTAGACTATCTCTGGTAGGAGGGTTATGAATGACAGCTCCAGCTCCAAAGATATCATCTTCAGGCGAGAATACTGAACGTCGTCGAACACTATTACCATCATATACATACCCCGAGGGTTTCCCAAAACGATCCAAGACCTCCATCGGAACATCTGGAATAGCGACGTCTTCAGCATCATGGCCACGATCGATAAACTGATCACCAAAGTCCTGATCAAAAGAAATAGATGTAGGAGACTGAGGGGGCGATAGAGTAGGATCTTCTTCATCTGGCACAGCTAAAGCAATAATGCCTTCGGCTTCCTTCCATAATTGTGCTGAAGGTCCATGTATCAAGTCCTTTTCCCGAGCCAAAAGACGCAACCTCTTAAGATCTTCGACCAGCAAGCACACTTCTCGTATCTGTCCAACATGGCCAACGACGTTTGCTTGGCTGGCTTGAATTGCGAGAGGGACAAACATTACACCAGTCTCGATCTTGAGATTGCCATCATCAAGTCCAGCTTCATCGTTTGACTCGAATTCGAAATCGTTATCCCAGTCCTCACTTACGCCTTTTGCGCCCAAACCCCAAGTGCCAAATTTTGGTGTCAGCTTTGTGGGATCACGCTGGTTAATGAGATCGGGAACTAAAGGAACACTTTGACTTCGGATATGCAATGGGGTGGGCCCTTTTCGTCCGACAGTTCGCCCACCTCGTCCATTCAAGGCGAGTTGCTTAACATGTGCTGTCCTAGGTCGAGCGGAACTCCCAAGCAGATCTTTCTCCGATGTCGATGGTTCGGACCAATCAAATAAATTACTCTTGGGTCGTTCAGCATAATGATTACCGTTTGTGGAACCACTCAGGGTAACATCTGCAAGGGCTCCTCTATTTATTGGACTGACCCGACGACAGGACAAGCTATTTGGCGGTGACAGTTGGTTTCCCGCTTCCATATTTTCGTTCTCTTCATCTCGAGTCCAGTCTTCGTCTTCTTCATCGTTATCCAAGTTCAGTGTAGCGAAATCTTTTGAAGCAATACAAAAGCTTGGAGGCGAAGATGGAACAATTTCTTCTGCATCTATAGCATAAGTCGATTTGGCGACTTCGGAAGAAGTGTTGAGAAGCTTTATTGGGGTTGATTGACCTTCATCCTCCTCAATAATACGATGTTCAATTTCACCAAAGGCGCCATTCGCCATTAGATCGTGAATTGAAAGCCTCTTAGCCTTTGCATGTCCGTTGGCGTTTGTGATATTTGGAGGGGACTCGTCAAACATCGAGTCAAGGGGCGTATTTTGTGATCGTAGACTACTTGTGGCCCCTGACCTCAGTGAATCGTACACGGTTTCACTTTGAAAATCCAAATCTTCATCTTCACCAGATGCAAATCCTCTCATCTCGTTATCTGAACCAATCAAAGTCGAAGTTCTGTCTCCCACTTCCGACAAGCCATGTTTCGAACTCAATGCAGTATGATATGACGATGAACCATTTGTTGATCCAGGAATTGTAGAAGAGAAAGAAGTCGCAGCAGTACTAGACATTGGCAGAGGTGAACTGGGACTTCGAAGAGGGGCCGACGACGACGAGGACGACAAGCCCAATCGAGCTAAATCGAGGTTGAAAGATGATAGTCGGTTGAGAGGCGGTAATGGCGATGATGTATTCCTTCGGGGAGCGTAATTGAAATGGGCAAAGGGATCTGTTGGTGACACCGGGGAGAAGTCTTCGGTAGGAGAGCGAGGCTCTCTCTGGAATACCAATTGATCCATGAATGGTCGAGAGTGATGTGGGGCAGGCCCACTTGCAGAAATCGATATTCTTCTTGTATCCAGTGGTAGAGGTGCAGAGACATGACGCCTGGCACCCTGCGTAGAATCTGAATTCCGTTTTTTATTCCTTAAGCTTCCTGTCCGAGGTATCCATGTGGTCGGTGAATTGAAGTGCATAGAAAGTGACCGCCTTAAAGGCTTCTGATCTTCTGAATCATCTTCATCCATAGGCGAGCTAGGGATGTCTTCCATCGTATTTTGGTCAATTGGTCCGTCACAGAGAAGCCCTCCTTCGTCGTAATACCCTTCCATTTCTTCAGTCGAAACAGTGATTAAATATGGTTTGACCAAAGTCGGTCGAACGGTATGATCTGGCATCACCCGCTTTGAGGTCCAGAAAAAATTATGCACATTCCCATCTCCTGATCTTCCGGCGGATCTTTCTTTGAAAAACCTGGTTGGTCGGGAGTTGAAATACATACGCCAGGAGCTGCGAGGTGATTCACTAGATTTCCTCAAGGGTGTAGCATGTGTGGATACCGTTGACCGCCTTGGGGCAGTGGGACGCGCTTGCGTTTTCGTACCTGGAGAATCATCGATGAATCGTTGCTGCAGCGTAGCCGAACGTTGATGACTGGTAGCTGGTCTCCGTAAGGTCGGTACCTGCGCTCTTGATCCACTCGAGTCTGGTTCCCTACGATATCTCTGCGACGAGTGCCTCTTGACCAGTTTGTTCGGAGGTAATTGCGTGGGACTATCCCGAGGGGATGACAATATGGGTGTCGCGGAGCCATGGGAGAGCGCGAGAGAAGGCGATTCTGGTGCGATACTTGATCTAGGGCTGCTACTTCCCGATACTGGTATAGATAATTTCCGAATCCAGGAACTGCGAGATGATGAAGAATCCCTAACCACTTCCTCCCCCGAAATATCGTTTTGTCCTTCACCCGATCGAAGCAGTGACCATCTTCGCGCCGCGCCGTTTTGTGATGAAGTGGGAGAATCGAGTTTAGCATTCGAGGAACGTCGAAGGAATGTTGTTAACGTTTGGGAGCCAGGGGCAGATGAAGAACTCGGTGCAGAAGGATTGCGACTTTCTGGAGTGGCCATGGTAGAACTCGTAGGGGGTCGTGAGACGATAGACGGTGTACCTAGGTTAAAAGAATTGTCGACATCTGTAATGATATCTCCAGGTTTCCTTCTTTTCGAAAGTGTGCGAGAAGGGGGAGTCGACTGGTCTGGACTTCCCAATGCCAGGCCAGCAGCTGCGACACCGACGGTACTTGAAGCAACAAGCTATAAAAAGGAGAAATAATTATTAGTGTTGAAAGATAGAAGGTAAATGAAGACGAATGTTGTAAAAATAATGTTGAGACTTGTGCAGGGAGACCAATGAGTGAAGTCGAACGAGGAACAAGATATCAATTGAATTTTTAAAGAATGTAGATTGGAGAGCTTACACTGGGAATGGTCTTCATCTTTCACTTATATTGCTTACACCACTACCAAGAAGGAGAAAGAAGTAAGGGAGGAAATATCGTAATCGTCAAGAACCTCATGAGTATCGTAAGTATTCCATACCAAGAGGAAGTTTAGTTTATCTCTTTGGGTAATGGATGTGGTTGAAATTAGAGATGGTGCGGGAGGTAGTGAGTGAGTAAGTGAGTGTGGTGGTGGTGGTGGTGGTGGTGGTGTGGAGAGTATCTTTAGAAGGAATGGGTTGGGGGGTGAAGTGCTCCAAAACACCAATATCGTAAATAGGGTAAATAAACACTAGAAATTTAGAAAGACAGAAGTTCTTTCTTTTTCGATGTTTTGAAGTAATGAATTGTAAAGTAATTTTTGGGTATAAATCGAAGGCGTGAAATGGTAATATGAAATGTGGTACACAATTCTCTTTGCTTTTTCTCGAATGATAGCAAAAAAGGGAGGAATTGAATTTGGAGAATGCGGTATGAAGTTAATGTGGATGATCTGAAAATGCGTGGTTTATATTGAGCGTCAAGTCGATTCCTCTGTACGGTAGAGAGGGTAGGTAGGTAGGAAGGTATGTGAGTCTGTAGATAGGTAGATAGGTAGAGTCGTACCGGTAGTATCAGTCATGAAAAGAGTGAAGTTTGGTGGTAAATAATGAATCTGCCTGGGTGAATGGAAGCGAATTGAATGTATAAAATGCTCCCCCCCCGCGTTGAATGGGCAAAGAAGGTTGAGATGAATAGAGCCTTTCAAAACAGAAGGAAGAGAAAAAAAAGGTGTGAGGTATGCGATAGGATTGGATTGCAGTATAATATGAGTATAATATGCGTGAGTATAATATGAACATACGGAGCAGGTATTACCACTAGCTACCTAGCACCAGCACCAGCACCAGCACAATTCAGTTTGCGATAATATGGCATTCGGTCGGTATGCGGTATGGGTACTAGGTATGCGGTATGCGTGCGGTATGCGAAAGGCTTTGGTTTGCTGGATTCTGATCTACGGAGTAAGACCTTTTGAGAGTAAAAAGACCAAGTTAAGTCAGAAAAGGAAAAGTCTCCTTATTCCTATTCGATTGATTGGCTGCAGCGGGACAATCATCCAAGGTTCACACTACCACTTTATACCACTTTTACCACTTTCCTCTCCATTGTAAATTTGTAACTTCCCGTCAAGGTTAAATCGCAATTCTGGGATCGTGGTGGATTCTTCCCTGGAGCTAACCAAGCATTCAACACTTAAACCCAGCAGCTCATTATTAGGTGGATCCAATCGAGATATAGCATTAACTTAAGCAAACCTGAGAGTTCCATCTATTACTGGGTCTCGACAAAGTACTGACCCGCGTTTATTCAAGTCGCTCGCTCTTCCCCTGCATTTATGAATGGAGAGAGGAAAATACGGAGCACTCTACATCATATCAAGGTCATGGTGATTGGTCAAGGTTATGTGAATTCCCCAATGCGGTTCCATCTGGGAGGTGCTAGGTTGCTTGATCTTGATGACCTGTGGGCACCCGGTACATATCATTTTCATACACAGAGCACGGAGTAGAGACCGTACATAGGTAGTTCGTAGATACCAGACCTACACACTTCCCGTATATCATACAGAGTTCAGATGCTTCATGTAACAGTTGACCCTGACAACGTGATCAAAAGCCCTAGGATTAGAAAGCTTAATCGTCGTTATACATTATACCTTATCCCATCTCATTCTAGAAAAGTTGATACTGACTATGCCTACGAGATGTTCACTGTGCACTGTCAAAATAACATACGACTTTACAAACACTTACCTCCGCTTGCCTCTTAGTTGCGTACCCTAACACCCTAGATTCATTATGGTCCGTCCCGTAAAGAAGGTTGACAAAAACTAATGAGCCACGCGATTGTTATCGATCTCAAGTGCCCGTTCATCTTGGTTAGTTGCGCTTCATTGTCCCATTGCCATTGGCCGACATCTAGAAAACAAGGAAGGGAGAGCTTTTGAGTGTGAAGTAAGCTGATAAAAGTTTGCATGTCAGGGTACCTAGCCAGCCAAAAGTCTATAAGCATCCGAAGTTTCGATACTTTCAAGACTACTGTATAAGGTATTGGGGGGCTCATATAGGGTGGTTTAGCATGCGAATCTGGTCTGCAACGAGTGCAATTATCAGAACGGATGTACGATGTATGTAGCATGTGACCCGGCTAGCTTAGCCTTAGCTAGTCGCTCAGATCAAAGGGAACTTGGAAGAGATCACATTAATAACTACAGTTACTACGCCACAACTTATTTCAGTCTTCCGGTGCCTCACAACTCTTTTAAGTATCGGAAATATCGATATCTTGAAACCTTGATAGCATCAAAATATATCACAACACACACGCATGCGGGCCAGTCAGTCGTCGTCTACTTGTGGCAGGAAGAAACACGATCTCCGCCTTTAATTTTCGACAATGTTTACATCCTGAAACAAGCGAGGGATATTCTGGGGGTTATCGGGATATCATGGGTGTAGATCTGGTTCACGAGTCAACGAGAATATTATGAGACCGCATTCAATATAAGATGCATTCATTCTTTCCCCTCCTCTTCTTTGGGAATACTAATAAATCACACATGTTTATTATATCTGATCACAAACATAAAGATCTTCCCGCCAAGATTATATAGAGTTATGATACTGTTGCAATCCGTAATGCTGCGGTCAGCATCGGTATACTATATCCTCATGAATACCTAGTCTTCATCCGAAGTCTTCACACAACACTCCATCTCGTATCTCCTTTGTGCAATCATATGTTTCGCGGGAGAACATGGAAAAAGACGTGATTGATAGATAGTACAGGATGCTTGTTTCAGATGCCGACGAACACGACGGTAACATTATGCAGCCAGCTTCTGAGTTTTTCAATATGGACATCCGGCAGAGCTCTTTTGGGATAATTGAATCAAGGAGGATTTATTATTGATTTCCCAAGAAAAGAATCACAATGCCACAACAAAGTATTCTCATCCTCCCCAACAGGGCTGAGATGGAAAAGATGGAAAAAGTAAGCATCATCCGAAGACAATGGTTCTTATGGTAATATGGTTACATTTTCAGAAAGGCTCAGAGCCGCCACATCAGGGGTTCTAGGATGGCTCAATTCAACGATTGCGAATGGCTGGATAGCTGGATGCTATACATCGAACCGGTTACGATGCACAAACTAATTATTTAGTTGCTTTTGGTAGGTACGCTCGGGCTTCAAGGTAAACACAACCCCAACCCCTCTTTTGACGAGGGGTTATGATCATCATGGAAAAGCATTGAGCAATGAGGGGGAGGCGAAAAAAAGATGTTATCGGCGTCAACTAATAGGTATGTGAAAATGGCATTGCCATTATACTGTCCTGTTTAATGCGCGATAGATACCGTATATGTCCAATGGACCGTGTTCCCTTGCTCTTACTTTCCTCTGCTCTGCTCTGCTCTGCTTTGCTTTCTTCCTTACTTGCATCGCATTACATTGGAGGATTCTTTACTCCGTACCATCATAAAGCATCTTCCCCGTCATTGTTGATAGACTCGCGTGTGTAATTGTCCAATCAAGGAGTGTATAAGATCTATTGCGGTACAGCTTTCTCACCAACCCTGTCCCTGCTTGCATGTCGCCATCTTTCGAACCAAGATTTCGTTCCCTGATCAGTAATAACAAGAGCAAGCTACCTACCTAGACATGTATGAAATACGATGCGCCGGGCTTTTCAGCTGATCGATTCTGATTGATCCGCTTTGCGACGTACAAACACTACGGTAGATCAATATCTTGGTTTTTCAATGGAGACGCTTTGATAACATGAGAAGTGATAGATCATGGAAGGGAAGCTTTCATTGTCTTCTGGCCTTCTACGCGTTCTAGCGGAGATAAGTGAAGCGAAAATAAGATGTAACGTAAAAAAGCAAATAATACACATGAAAGCAAACAAGTACGGCTTAGATCATCTTCCAGGTTCTTCCACAATAGCGAGACATTTTCTTACAGCCCACTGTCCGCTTCTTCCTCCCAACATGGTATTCATTCCTGCGATTTTCGTGACCGAGTTGCTTTCCGGCGCAATGCGCATCTTCATCATCATTCCATTCCATTCACAAATGAAAGAAAATCCGAGCCTTGAAGATCTGTACGTACAGCAAGCACCAGGGGGGGACTGAAAATGGTTCCTCACATATCAGAAAAGTTCCAAGGTCCCTAGGTACATACCCAAAAAAGCTCCCCTTGTATATTTTTTGCCGCCGAGCTAGGTCTACCCCTTCCCAGATCTCCCCTTCCCGGAATTAGACACTTGACAACTCACACCTACATACATCCATCATCCTTTGCTACCGGCAGCAAACTCCGCACGCCACGGAAATTTTTCAGAGCTCCATCGCAATTCGAACTCTTTTTCCTGTTCCTGTCCCTGTTTGACAGTGTGGATTCGGTGTGGAGAGACTGCAATAGCTAGATTTCCTCCAGAGGCACAACATTCAAAAATCCCAATTCCAGCTTTCATGGGAACATTATCGCTATGCTCCATGCACGCACCGTACACATGAGGTTATCCGCAGCTGCATATGCAACCTATATTCCCACAACTGCTTTGGTACGAAGCGTACCTATTATTATCGGTACCATATATTTTTCTCGCGATACCTAGATTTCAAGAACCATGGATCGTACGGAATGAAACATGGGCTTCGGCGACACACTATGTAGAGATTTACCTTGCATCTGGGATGACCAGGTCAACATATTAAATTTCTGATCTTTTTTCCTTGGTCACTTTTCACATTTGACAAATTGCTTGGATATCCGAATCCGAAATTTAGTTCTGCAAGAAAGAGAGGGAAATCGCGATCTGGGGCGACCGACGCGTTAGATTCGTGTCGTAGGAGGAGATAAGGGAATATGGATATGCCATGCGCGATGAACTTGTCTTTCGTTGAGAAATGATATTCTTATGGCGCTCTCGTTCAACCCGGTCATCGTAGAACTATATACCGATGCATCTACGTTCCTATCCGAACATTTCAGATGAGACATTAATCAACTATATCATGAAATCACACATCGCCGTTATACATTTCAATACCGTGCCGTCTGTCTGTACTGTACCCAAAGACCAAACCAAACACATTGTGCTGGCGCAAACAATTCGCTGCATCCATCACCGCCTCTGCAATTTCCTATCTCCAAGGTATCTTTCTCTCTCTCCCTTTGAAATCCAACCAATGCCTCAGATTAAGCATGCAATATGAGAGTTCGTGCAGCTTCACAAAACCAATAGGGATTTGCGAATTGCGTCATATTATTCTAATAATAAGAGGGCGATATGCATCTGCACCTACTAAGGTGCCCATCTCCTCTCCCTTGCATTCGAAGAATCATTAGTTTCCGCCCATTTATGGATTTTAAAAGATGTTCATTGGTCGCGTGGCCCCATCCTCCAAAGAGAAAATATATTGCATTCTGGGGAAATGAAAATGGGAACATGTACAATGTACTCCACCGTTGTCATGGGAAAGGTCAATCATTTTAGGTAGAAGAGAAAAGTAAAATTACCATTCATCAACGTGTCAAACATTGAAGAGGGTCGAGACTCTGCCGGATGGCGAGAATAGATTATTTTACCGCCGACCCGTTGTAAAGAGTGTAGACGAATGAAATAAACGAGGGAGATCGAACGGAAGAACAAACGAAGGAAAGTAAAGAGAGAAAAAAAAGAAAAGAAAGACCAAAACAATGAATGAAGGTTAGCTGCTATAGATTGATTAGCAATAGTCAATTAGCAAAGGCTTGATTTATATCGCTCGTTAAACTTCATGTATTGGCGATTTTGTCTTTTCTCAAATCAATAATTATGATTTTCTAAATCGCTTCGATGGGTCGGAAAGAGACATAACTACATATACCTACCTACCTGTGAACTTGATATCAGCTGAAGAGTAGTATTTTCCTCCTTACCTGAGGAATTCAAGATTTTGGAGAAGCCTCCTCAAACAACTCCACATCCAATCAAACTTAAAAATGATCCTTTACAAGAGGCACAGTAAATATCGGTCATGCCGGGAAGTCTAAACGGGAGTGGGTTTTTTTTGCCTTGGCAACCGGGCATAGACAGACAGACAGCATAAGAAACCTACTGTCTATGTACCTATGTATTTTGTGCATGTTGTGTTATCACATGACTGTTCTACCACGTGCGACAGCTTTGGAGGGAGGGCCTTTCGTCCAAGGTTTTGCAATGTTATGGTTGCTATGTTACTACCATTTTGTATTTTTCGGACATTTTCACATTCTGTTCCCATGGATCATGGACTGTGAGATTGATGGGATGCACAGCATATAATGGAAATGGAAGATGAAAGTAAGGTTACAAGGTGATTTCTACAAGAACAAGGTATCTACCTAGTATATCTATACTTCACTCCCGTCAATTTGTTGCAGGGAACGATCTTCAAGATCCATAGGAAGCCTGTCCCATCTCCTATTTTCCATCTTCATTTCTGTCTCTTTCTTTGATCGGAACTCAGCTATATAGCCTTCTAGTCGTCAATATCTTTTCCTTTTCTCAAACCATCAAGCCTATCTACTTCAGCTCAGTCCTACGTCTCACAAGCCCCCAATCACGTCTTCCATCCTTCTCGTACCCGAATCCGGGAGTTCTAACATCCATCCCCTCTGCGGGCTCTTCGGGCAACACTCGTTACAGATGCCAGGTACATATGACTCTACGGGCCTCCAAACCCTCAAGACGTCACCGACATGCAGCCAGAGAATCCTCTTGGAGAAATACCGAAGCACGAAATAAATACTTCGTGTTCCATACCCCCAATACTTTGTTCTCTCTAACACGGCCTAGTTCTCGCGCAAACATGGCATTTCAAACACAGCATACTCAATCCGCGTGGCTTTGACTAGCCCAGTTGACGCGTATGTAAAGTACGGTAGTTAGATATGCCAAATCTCTTTTGTCATCTCTTCGGAAATTGTGTCTGTGGTGGGAACCTCGTCATTTCCATCTGTCTGTGAGGTAGCAGGCAGGAGGTTCCTTGTTGTTAAATTGCCGATGTCTAAATTGTGATTACAAAGTTTATGGGGAGGCTGAAAGTTCGAGAATGTTTTGTGCACGGATGGGAGCGACCGGTAGCTGGTGCTTTTGGTAGTGGCTGTGTCTTGATAATTTTTCGGGGAAAATTTTCACCTCGCTTTGACGTGCTGCTAGAGAATTAAGACGGGGATGCTAACTACTGGCGGTTGTTTCAGTTTGACTTTGAGTTTGTTGAGAGAGCATTTCTTGAGGCTCTGTGCAAGATGGCGGTGTAGATGGCGATCGAGATGTCGATGATTAAGGCATCGGATAATGAGATTGCCATGATATCATATCCATGGATTTCCCTTGCCTATTCAAAGTTGAATGGGTATTTTTCAACCAATCCATGAGCTCATAGCGAAGAGTTATATCTAAACAGTGAACGAGTTTAGAGATGTTTGAAATTCAATTTGTTAAATCTCAAGACATGTAGGACCGTTATGTATGTCCTCTCAAAAGTCAATCGAGTTTAGAAGATACACATCAGTATCGAGAATTTGGTGGTATCAACTTCCAAGTCTGACTGTCTCTAAGCATGTATGCATTGCATTTCGAGTCCCATTAATATTCTGTTGTGACGATGTACATATGTAACGGTGAGAAGTCTCATTCTATCATTCTAGCGCCCAGCACCACCAGTTTTAAGAAACTTTCAATATCAGGAGGCTACGTATCGCTATGTATTTCTTGCAAGTTAAAAACTCTACTGTAATACTCCATGTACATTCCTAATTCCATCTGACATGATCCCGTTTCTTATTCTCACCATGAAGCGCTCAATACATTGGGTCGCCCTCCTCCTAGGAAACGTGATTTCTCTAGTCCTAGTTGCTTGTCCAACAATACTGCAACCAGTCTATCCGACTCCATCCATCGCCGCAGGGTACTCAGTTCAATTGGTCCCTGGACATCTCACGAGAGCCCGTACTACCATCTTCGATACGAATAGAGCTCTTCTGATTCTTCAACAAAAAGAGGGTATTGCACATGTAAAACAAAATGATGAAGGGGGTACCTGTTTACAAACCCCAATAAAGACCATTGTTGTTAGTTCTACAGTTGTATATTGACTCTCTTCTGCCACAGCTGTACTTGAAGTGAAGATGATAGTATTCCAATGTCCTCCTAACTCAACTACGAAATGGCTCTGAGCAGTGATGGCAAAACTCTCCATGCTTCGTCGAGCAATATACACACACGTAACTACACAGCAACTCCCAGTACAGTAAGAAGCATAACCCAAATCCTCGTAACAAACAGTACGGCACCTCCACCGCCACATCCCTTCATCATCGAAGAAATCCTCAAGCCGACTATTTCCCAAAAGTGACCAACCACAGCCCTACTACCCGCTCCCTGCTAACCACCAACACACACACAACCAAATCCTCTTTCCGGCGATCCATATCCCAACGAAAAAAGTCCCGAAAGAAACCCTCACACGCAAGCCCATCAACATCAATATCCACCTCTACCATCCTAGCTCAGCGTTAAATTCCCACAGCTATCTCAAAAATACAGAAGATCAAAGAGGAACTCACAACTTCCCGTACTGTCTTGTGATGAGGACACAATAGATGTGGACGGGGCATAGTTTAGCATGTTGCAGCATGCGCTGAATAATGATACTTAGTATGATGTCAATCTCCATGCGTCGTTTTTTCCGGGAATTTGTTTGGGTCTGTGGGGGTGGCGTTGCATACGTTTGGTAGATTGTTCGTGAGTAGCGACGCTGAGGGAAATATATGGGTTGTGCCTAAGACGGGGGATATAGAAGAGAGAAAGTGTAAAGAATGGAATGGATGATCTCGAAGGAAACGCAGACGGGATATTTGGAGGATGAAAGTGTCTGACATGGGAGATGTGCTCGGGTATTGAGTGAACGATGCGGCCAATGTCTCGTCAAATGAAGGAGGGATAATGATTCAACGACTTCCAGTGCATGATTCATATATTCTATGCTTGCATATCTACTATTTCATTCACAGTGTCACCTATCATGGCTCAACAGAAACATAGTGCTAGAGCTAAATAACAAGGCCATACTTACTTAACCCCTCACAAATGATACAACCTTGCTCAGCTATGATATTTTGTGAATCTTGGTAAAATCCCTGGGTAGTTCCATATCGCACGTCGAACTCATCCGGCTCTCGATACTAAGAGCCGATAATTCGCGCTAGGCATTCCCAGGCTTATATCAACTTCACTCGCGAACTTTTATTTTTCCTCATCGTAGCTGCCGGTGATGATTCCGGTCACTCTTCGATGCAATAAACTTTAATGCCATTGAACTGTGCACTATACTTGAAATTGCGAATCGGGTCATGAAGAACCATACCAGGAAACAATCGAGTGATATTGTGCCACCTTCTCAGACAATGAGAGGTAAAACGAACTGCGCACCAAATTCAGCTAGACCTAGAGGACTATTCAATCATTGAACATACATCGGGATGTAGAGAAGTACTAGAAACCGAAATATGCTTTGATGATCAAATATGAAGAGGGATATTGAAGAGTAAGACAGTAAGTATCAAGGCACCGCTCTTTCCCCAAATTGG